ATGTCGCAAAACTTGCCCAGAGGTGGGGTTTGAACCAAGGATCTTACGTTTCTAAGGCAAATGCGCTGCAACTGCGCCACAGCTGCTTTAATATATATAATATGTATACATTTTTGTTTTTTTGCAAAAATTTTACTTGAAATGATTTTTTCGTTTAGAATGTTTTTTTAATTTAATTCGAATATTCTTGAGGTTCCAGATATATATAATAAAAAATTATTTAAAAAAAAATCTTAGTTTTAAGATATTTTTTTAGTTTTGTCCACCTAATGGCCCATTGTGCAATGGTCCGAATCACATTTCAGAAATCCACATAATATATTATTTTAAATGTCATTCTCAAGCGTCAATAAATAATGGCTTTGTATCGAAATTGAATTTCGTATATTTACGTAAATTTCATAAAAACTGACTGTAAATATTAAAAGATTTTTAGAATTGCTCATGACACAATGGTGTACTTTTCTACAGTTTTAGGGCTCCCCACAAATGCTGTATCAAGTTTAGAACATTTAATGCAACTTTTTTTTTTTTTTTACCATATAAATTTATTCAAGTCGTAAAGCAGAACATATATACAAATAGCAGGGGCAAGAAGAAGACATAATTTGTCTTATCACCAAGCCCCTTAATCTAAACCGTAAATATAAAATAGCGTAATAAATTAAAAAAAAACGTAACACAATATAATATAAAACACTTTCTTAAAATTATATAAATAAAAATAATAGTTCTTAATGTTATTTAACTTTAACTTTTTAGTTTTGTATTGGTTATGAAAAATTTAAATACAAATTTAAAGAAAAAAAAAAGAAAAAAAAAATGTTTAGCATAATAAAAATCTATTATTAAAAAGCATGCAGGCAAATACGCATAATCCTGAAGCTTTCCTTTTACACCAGCAGATACCTTAAATTATCTGGAGAATTTTTATCAATCATAAGTTTTTATAAAAGAAGAAATGAATCAGTAACAAGTGACACGATCCTTTCTAAGATCGTCAAGCTGATAATGACAAACCTCTAATTACTTATTAGTAGCAATCATTAATACTTCAGAAAATGCTGAGCGCTGCGTCGTTCATCAATATTTTTTGCTTCAATTTGTTTTTAAACTCATTAAGCGTTGCAATTGATTTAAGTTCATTTGTTAATATTTTATTCCATAATTTTGGTCCTCTTGTAGAAATTGAAAATTCAGTCGCCGCAAAATACCTTTTGGGTTGAATGTAACTGTTATTTGAAAATCTGGTTAGATATCTGTTCTGATTTATTTTGAATAGAGGGTAGAATATTTTCGGATATATATTCTTATTAATTTTGAACATAAATATAAGAAGATGATAGACATTTATTTGGTAGACATTCATTATATTTAAATTAACAAACAATTCTTGGGAATGTGTAAAACGGCCCACACTGAAAATGATTCTGATTGCATGTATTTGTTTGTTAAATAGTTTTTTTATTTTATTTTTATTTGTACTGCACCAAGCAACGTTTGTGTAATTAAGATGGCAATGAATGAATGAGAAATATAAAAGCTTTAAGCAAGTTGGATTTAAAAAAGGCTTTGCTCTACAGAGTAGGCCAATGTTCCTTGAGATTTTATTTTCAAGATAATGTATGTGATCTTTCCACGTCACATTTTCATCGAGAAGTACGCCAAGAAATTTTAATGTGGTTTCTCCTTTTATGTTTTGATTAGCAATACAAAGTTTTGGAAGTTTTAAAGGAATTTTATCTCGATCGTGAAAACGATGGAAAAAAGTATATTTTGTTTTGGTTACATTTAGAGATAATTTGTTTGCATTAAACCATTCAGTAAGATTTAATAGCTCTTTGTTTACTGACTTGAACAGAATATTTATATCGTTATGTGCGTAAAATAAATTTGTGTCATCTGCAAATAAAGTTGTATCTAGTTCAGTACAAGCATTACTTATATCATTAATATAAATGAGAAATAGGAGTGGTCCCAATATAGATCCCTGAGGAACCCCACATGCTATGTTCATATTGGTCGTTTTACCTTCATTATAAGAAATGTATTGTTTTCTATTTGTCAAATAGCTTTTAAACCACGCAATATTTGTATGTTTAATACCATAGTTTTCTAATTTTGTTAATAAAACGTAATGGTCAACAGTGTCAAAAGCCTTACTGAGATCAATAAACACACCTAATGTATATTTATCTTCATCAAATGATTTAAAGATACCATGAACAAGATGAACAATGGCTTGATCAGTAGAGTGCCTCTTTTTAAACCCAAATTGCTTACTATAAAGAATATTGTTTGCATCTAGAAAGGAATACAATTTTTTATACATAATGTGTTCTAATAATTTTGAAAAGCATGATAGTATGGAAATAGGTCTGTAATTAGTCATACTAGTCTTATCTCCTGATTTTAGTATAGGTATTACCCTTGCAACTTTAAGTTTATTAGGAAAGATTCCTTATTCCAGAGAGAGCGTAAATATATGCAAAAGCGGGGTTTTTATATATGGTATTGATTTAATTATTACATTACTGCTTACATCATCAACTCCATTACCTTTATTTGGTTTAAGTTAGTATACAGCATCAAAAAACTCTTTTTTTGTTAGCATATTATGGTCCATTGTATTACTATTAGAGTTAAGGTACGATTTGAAGCAAGTTTTACTTTTTTCTACTTTTGATGCTAAACTTGGACCTGTGCTAACAAAAGCATGGTTAAACGAATTAGCAATTATTGCATCGTTACTAATTTCACAGTCATTTATAATTAGTTTTTTTGGTAAGCAATTAGTATTCATATTTTTTTTAGCAATAATCTCTTTTATAATGTTTCAAGTTTTTTGACCGTCATTTTTGTATTTTAGTATTTGGCTACTATAGTAAAACTTTTTTGAGCGCTTTACAACTGTCACAAAAAGACGGTTATAGTTTTTATAGTTTGTTTCATTTTCAAAAGTTCTTTTTTTAATGAACTTTTCATACAATCGTTGCTTTTTTTTGGAAGATTTTATGATTCCAGGTGTTATCCAGGGAATTTTTAGAGTTTTGGTTTTAATAAATTTAGTTGTTATTGGGAATGCTTTATTGTAGTGACATTAAAATATATGATGAAACTTATCATAAGCTTCATTAACATTTTTAGTTTTCAAACTTGCTAATAGAAAACAATCGCTTATTGTTTTAGTATCAACTTATTTTTGTTATATTTTTGTTTAATGAAGTAAAGAAATTATGAATTGTAATGGTTGTCACAACTCGTGAGAGTTGTTACAACCTCCTCAATTACAATCTTTCATGGTACCTCACTCTACCTTACTTTTATTCTAGCTGCTGCGTGTACACTATCAAACCGTAGTTATAGACATTTTTTCTGATAACATTTTTATGAAATGATTTAAATGAATTCCAATGTACTGTTATATCAACTTATTCTAGATGTCCAAATGATATTCATCTTGAAAAAACAGATTGGGAAGACAATTTAAATAATTTCATTTTCCCTGATAAAAATGAAATTTTCCTGACTTATTGATGTAAATTTAACAAATGTAGCAATAAAAAAACAAGAAATAAAACTTAAATAAATTTACCCAAATAATAAGTTTTTTTTTGTAACTGCTTACTTTAAATTAATAAACATTTTTAAAAAAACAATAAAATACAAAGTAAAAAATAAATCGATTTTTCGTCTTCATTAAACAAAAAAAAAAAGGAAAAAGAATATTGTTACTGGGTCCATCAAAATTCCCCGACTTTTACAAAATTCAATAAATTTCCTGACTTTTTAACATAGTTAAGAGTTTCCCTGAAAAACTGCTTTAAGTATTGAAGTTGCATTATATGATCTGAATTTTATGATGAGCTTGCCAATAACATTTAGTTATAAGAAGCAAAAATGTTTGTTTATAATCTATAAAGCAGAAAAATAAAGTAACCTTAAAGCAGGGTTTCTTAACTTATGGTCCATTGACCCATCAGGGGTCCACGGCATTCATTCAAAGGCTCCATGTAGCAGGTACAGATTTAGAAAAAAAAAACCGCGTGGAATTTTCATTTTTGAATAACTAAATTTTTTTACTTTTAATTGATAGTTTATAGCGAGATATATGTGACAAAACCTCACTGCCAAACAACACTTTCAAGTGGCATTATTATTTTTTTTATCACACAAACGAAGAAGAATATTGTTTTACATGATAATTTTCATCGCCTTATAACATATATTTATTTATAATATAGCTTTTATTATTTGTTTCAGTAATTGAGGTATATTTTTATAAAAAAGTATTTTGTCTTATAACATTTATTTATAATATAGCTTTTATTATTTATTTCATTGGTTTTTCAGTAACTTTTACTTTTGAACAAAAAGTAATTTTTACTTTTTTACAGTTTGTTAAAAATGTCAAAAAAAGAAAATATAACGATTCATATGTCGCCTAGGTTTCACTTTTGTAACTGAACGAAATGGAACACAAAAACCACAGATCTTTTTATGTGATAACGTGCTTGCTAATGGCAATATGAAGCCGTCAAAATTGTCAGAACATCTTAAATCTGTCCACCCAGGAAATGCATTTGATAATGTTGGTGTTTTTTGGGCCAAAAAAGCTCGATTTGAGAAAGCCGGAACTTTACCCAAACTAGGTTTTACTCCAACACAAAAACCATGTTTACAAGCATTGTTCAAAGTTGCATATCGCATTGGCCAAAAAAAAAAGCCACACACTATTGCAGAAACTCTTCTAAAGCCTTGTTTACTAGAAATAGTAGAACTTTTGTGTGGTAGAGATCGAAGAAAGAAAGTTGAAGCGGTGCCTTTGTTAAATGATGTCATCTATTCTAGAATTGTTATAACAATTATAGAATGGATGACACCATTTAACAATGGATGACATCATTTGACTTCATTTAACGTTAAAGTGTCTTCCAACATTTTGCAACAGGTCATTAATGAACTTAACTCTTCGCCATTTCCATTCAGCATGTAACTGAATGAGAGCAAAGATGTATCGCAGTGTAGCCAGCTTTATGGTGTTTGTACGTTATGTACATATAAAAATACAAAGTATGAAAGAAGAGTTTCTATTTTGCAAATCACTTTTGGGAATAACAAAAGCAAGGGATGTTTATAGTATAATAAAAAGTTTTTTTGAAAAACACCGTGTCGATTGGATAAATAAGCTTGGCAGTTTGTGTACAGACGGAGAAATGCTTGGAAAAACTTCTGGTTTTTCAGCATTGGTCAAGAAAGAGATTCCTAACGTCAAAACAACTCATTGCTTCTTACACCGACATGCATTAGCATCACGAACTTTGCCTACTTTCTTGAAAGGATTTATGGCCAGGTGTATTAAAATAATTAACTTCATAAGAGCCAGAGCTTTAAATCACCGGCTATTTAAGAAACTTTGTCAAGAAATGGGATCTGACCACGAAGTACTGCTGTATTATACAGAAGTTCGCTGGTTATCAAGAGGGCAGATTTTAAAGCGCTTATTTGAGTTACGCGTAGAAGTCTCGATTTTTCTGAAAGATCAAAAAAGTGCATTGTATCAAATTCTGGAGAGTGAAAATTTTTTGCAAGGACTAGCTTACTTAACCGATATTTTTAGTTATTTGAATGAAACAAACCTAGCTCTTTAGGGTCCTGCTTTCACAATCATGGATGCAACTGAAAAACTAAAAGCTTTTTTTGGTAAGCTGCTAATTTGGAAAAGAAAGAGTGGATGTAGGCGTTACTTCTAATTTTTGAATGTTGGAAGAACTGCTGTCGCAAAGTGATATGCAATCGTCAAGAAGTTTAGATGAAGAAACAAAAAAGAAGTCTCAGAATTCGTTTGAAGGGTACTTTTACCCTTTTTTTTTTTTTACTGAAAGCCTTGATCAGGAGACTTGGGTGCGTACCCTATTTATCATTGATATCAATGATGAAGATCTTATTAAGGATGATTTAACGGACATGAGATCCTAAACAATATTGCGAGCTGATTTTCATGCAAAGGATGTTAGTAATTTTTGGTGCAGTATAGAGCAAGCTTACCCTCTTCTTGTTAGACAAACCATGTCGATATTAATTACTGCACACGTTTGTGAATCAGGTTTCTCAGCATTAGCGTCAATAAAAACTAAAAATCGTAACTGAATAGATGTCGAAGACGATATGCGTGTATGAGACAATTCCTCAATTATGCTTATTGAAATGAGACAGCAGCAACCATATCATTAAACAACTGATACGCGAGAAATTTTACTTGATACTAATAAATAAATTTTTTTTTTTTTTCTTAACACATTTACAATAAAGTTTAGAAGGGGTCCGTAAGATTGCTAAAATTTTGATAGTGGTCCACTGACTACAGAAAGGTTAAGAACCACTGCCTTAAGAGCAAAATCAAGACGAAAAAAAGCTAATTGAAATATAAAATGATTTTTTTGAGAAAACGATTTGGCACTATCTTTTATCAAACGTGGTCTCGTCCTGGTCTCTTTTTATCAACCCCATTCACTTACTACATATGAAAAGGATTTAATTTGGATATTCGACTTTCTACGCACTTCGTCAACCTACCTTCCCTACTGCTATTTAGCTCTGGTTTTCCCCTTTCATAAACTATTAAAATAAAAGCATTAATTAAAACATATTGAGAAAGCCAACACTGCATTATGTAAAAAAAACGTATATTACAATATATCGTAGCTGTTAAAAGTTCAGAATAAATATATAATCACTCTTAATCTCTTATTATGGAGAACGAGAGGAGGACCGCGTCTTGGATCGAGAACGACTCCTGCTTTGACTTCTTTTTGAGGTTCGAATAGGTGATTTACTGTATCGAGGAGGGCTTCTACTGCGAGAGTACTTATTTCTAGAGCGAGAGCGAGATCGCGTCCTTCGACGCCTTCTAGGGCTTCGTGAACGAGAACGACTTCGAGAATAACTTCTTCTCCTTAGGGAAAATAAAGTTTCATAATACTTTTGTCAAAACTAATAAAAAACTATACCAGTTTATTTTATAAAATTATGCGAGTTCACTTTACTTATAATTATGAACCTAAACTATATCATCAATCTTCTTCGTTTGAAATTTAATTCATTTTTCCCCTTCTACTTAAAATAAAATATCGAAAAGAATACTTCGAATACTAGAAAAAAGAAAAAGTTAAGATTATATAAATAAAATTTACCTGTAGGGCCCATCCTTGTATCTCATTTGATGCGGAGCTAAATATAAATTTTTATGTTAGTGCCGAATATTTATACTTTTTAAATAAACAAACAATTATTTTTAACATACTCTTTCGTCCACCACGAGCATTTTTGCAAAAGATTTGTCTACCAAACAAAGTTGTTCCGTCTAAGCCATCAACTGCATCCTCAGCATCATCTTCGTAATCAAATGTGCCCACCAAAGTTAAGAAAAGGCTTAAAGCAAATAATTAAACATACCCTACCTTAAAAGAAACCACTTATGACATATACCGCATTCTTTTTACTTTAAATTCTTTGGATTTAAACCAATTTCTTTACCCATTACCTATTACCCAAATTTCCTTCATCTTTACTTTATACATTGAAGAAACTTAAAACCCTCGCTAACTTTTTTTCTTTCATGACTTTTCTTCACTTTAGATTTGACTTTCAGAGATTTCTTAAAACTCTCTTTACTTTTATTCTTTGTCTTTCACATGCTTATTTTATCCTTTCAATGCAACTTTACCTTTATCGTTAAATCTGAAAATTTAAATACAAAAAATACAGTTTTAGCCAAAAAAATTTAACGTAGTGATTTAATAAGAAAAATGTATTTTTGTTTTTGCTTTAAAAATTTTAACTAGTTTGAAAAACGTTATTCCCATGTTACTTAATGCAAAGCTGAGTTGAGATCTAAAAATTATTTATTTTCTCATTTTGAAGTTATATTTCTTTTAAATGTCAAAGTTGCTAACTAGATCATCAGGGGGTAGGAAGTCCAAGATAAGAACTTTCAGACCGTTAAGAATCATAGTGTCTTTATTCTCACCCAGACTCTAAAGTTCTGTTATTCCAATGTTTTAAGAATGGACTGAATAGAAAGTAAAAATCAAGAATCTTGAATTCTATTATTTATAAACATAGTTTAATGTCATTAAGAAGCAGGACTTTATAGCCTGGGTGAGTCTGTCTTAATTCTGGTACATATAAATTGCACATTAATGACCAAAATTTTAAATGTTAAGATTTAAGACCAATAAATTTTTAAATATTAATTTCTTTTGTACCTAATTTATCACTTAAAATATTAAGATATAGAACATCTGAAACTTGTTTGCATTACTTAGTATTAGATTTATAGATACTCCCAAAATATGTATCAATATATTGATACCTGTCAAGGTATCTTTTAAATTGCTCTTTTGCAATCAGAGGTCAACTTCACTTCATTTATACTTTTCTTCCTTTATTTCTTTGTTTTTGTACTTTTCTTTAAAACTGAAATAAGCATAAAAATTTTCAATATTACTTTTAAAAAAATTATGAAAAGATATTGAACATAAGCAAACCCTCTTGGTTCTCTTGTGTAATAGTCTAAAGGAATGTATACATCACTAATATCTCCATACTTCTCAAATATACGTCTTAAATCTTCAGATCTAAACAAAATTTTAATAACCTTAAATATAATTATTTATTATCACTATATATCAAAAATTATAACAAATAATTTTTGTCACACACACAGGAAAAAACATTAATGCGGTAATATAAGCTGAGCTACAGTTTATAACTACTAAATTTTAACAAAGTTAAATCTCAAAAGACATCAAACTATGAAGGATTCCAACTTAATACAAGGTCAGCAATGAAATTGCTAACCGTAATTTGCTAGAGATCGGCAAAAAGACACAAAGAAGCTACCATAAAACATAAAAACAAGGTTGGCAATTTATTGCCCACCTCAAAGTGTTTGAGTTTGGCAAAAAATCAGAATTAGGCTGACCCTAATTCCGATATAAATATATCTATATCTATCTATCTATCTATATCTATTTATCTATCTATATATATATATATCAAAATATATATATCTTATACTGCTGAGTTAGGTGAGCATGATGACATCATACTGAAATAGCCTGCTGCGAAGGCTTCAGTACATACATCGACTGACAAATAGCCTGACTCTGATTTAAGCCTGACCTGTTTTAAGATAAGACCAATGTACCAATTTTTTTTTTGCCGACCTTTAAAAGATTGAAGTCAGCAAATTATTTCCAACCTTATTTTTCCTAATTCCGAGGGTTCATATATATATATATATATATATATATATATATATATATATATATATATATATATATATATATATATATATATATATATATATATATATATATATATACACACACACAACCCTTGGAATCAGAAAAAATGAGGTCAGCAATAATTTGCAGACCTAAATTTTTTAGGTTGGCAAAAAAAAAATTGATACACAGGGTTTACCATAAAACATATAAACGAGGTCGGCATTGCTGACCCTAATTCTGAGGATTGTATGTGTATGTATGTATGTATGTATGTGTATGTATGTATATATATGTATATATATGTATGTATATATATATATATATATATATATATATATATATATATATATATATATATATATATATATATATATATATATATATATATATATATATATATATATATATATATATATATGAGAGAGAGAAAGATGGGATAATTTTGTAAAATAAAAATTGTCTGTTTTATCAATGCACAGGAAAGCAAAAAAAAAAAAAAAAAAGTTTATTTCCTGATTAACTATTGTTATTGACGATGCTCTAAAAGCTAATAAGTTCATTTAAAAAGTTAAGTAAATTAACGATGCACTAACATTGTTAATTTACTCAACTTTTTAACAAAATATTTAGGAGCTTTTTTTTAAGTTTATAAATACATTTTTTCAAATAAAACCATTGCTATGTTCATTATCTCTAGTAATAATTTCCAACATTAAAACTTTAATTAACGTTGGAAATTGGACAATATATAAGAAACAATTTCAGACAGGCATCAAATTTGGTAAATACATTTCTAATAGAAACCATGTTATCCTTTTATTTAATTTCTTCTGTCATTACAAAATTTATTAATCAAATAATCCATTTTACAAATAAATAGCAATTTATTTTTTTATTTTCCTATTATATAAGTATTGAGAAAAACATCAAATATAGCAAAGATGTCAAAACAAATAAACATAAGAAAAAAATTAACAAAAATTTCACACAGTTTTGGCGCATATAGCAAATTAGTTTCTTATTATACTGATTGATAAAAATCGTGAATAAATTGCATATCAATTGTTGTACAATTGTTTTAAATTATGTTTTTCTCCTCAACTTGTATCAAAATAGCTAAGAGCAATAACCAACCTTAAAAAAATGAATACAGAAGTTGTATAAAAATTATATATATATATTTTAAATTTTTTCTAGTTTAATTAAAATTTGATATTTTGTTGGTATTTTCCTTTCATTAGTATTGTATTTTTTTCCCCAATAGATAAGTTTTTGCTGCAAATTTTTGAAACACTATAAAAGTTACAAGATGCGAACTGCCACGTTTAATCTAAAAAAATTACTTTAGGTGTAGATGAACAAGGCATGCAGCCACACAAGAAAGCTAGATAAGGTACATATTATACTAATATATGAATAATTCTTCCCGTTTTTGAACAGTATGTAAAGGTAATGCTAAGTTAAACTCTTCTATAAAAAATATCTACAGAGTTGCTTTTGATGTCAAGTATTTAAATCTATTTTATTTAGAAATAGATTTAAAAGTGTAAAAGAATCTTATCTGATATAATGCTCAGTAAAATACTGTACACTATATCAATTTGTATATTAGAATACCATTTCCCCATATATATAAGAATCTTATCCACCATTAAACTTGGTAAAATATAGCATACAAAATCAGGCTTGTACAGGAATGGCATACAATCGAGCGCTAATGCTGACCACGCAAATGATTTTTTTTTGACAACTTGACCACGACTGTTTAGATGTTTTAGAAATGCACTGAAAAAAGGAAGGCTTAGCTAAACTAAAACTAGGAAGAAAATTAACAAAACAACAACAACAAAAAAAACAACTAAAGAAATAAAAGAATTCCTTACAAAAAAAAAAATATAATACTGTAAAACTTATCTTTTAAATCGTTTCTTTAAAGTTATGCAAAACGCTTTTATGTAATTATTCTAATTATTATTTAACGAATGAACAAATTTTATCTAAATAATTAAAAAGTGTAATAATATTTTTAAATTATATAAGCATTTATTTTTTTCCAATGTTACCAATAAATAGATTTTTAGAATAACATGGAGAAATGGTTATGTTTAAATTTATCATAAAAAATACATGCCTACAATAAAATTGTGAAATATAACATTTTTTGTCAATTTACACAAAATGCGTTTATTTTAAACAATTATAATCAATTTTATATTTTAAAATAAAAACTCAAGAAAAGATTAATGATTAAAAATTTTTTATAAGATAATTTTTTTTTTATTGCATTTAAATTGTTAAAACATCAAAACAACCATGTTCAAGTTATAATGAAAAAACAATAAAAGCATGGTCAGTTACAGTATGCAATCGCATGCTATTCTTGTTCAAGGATTTAAAATGGATTTGTATTTTAAAATATCATATCCCCATTTTTAAGGATATGATACTTTAAGATTGAACTTAGTAAAATATATATGATATCAATTTCTACCTCAAAATATTATATCCCACATGTAAAAAAATTGTATCTGACATAAACCTTAATAAAATACCTTATAAAATCAATATTTAACTTAGAAATACCATATCACATTTAAATCCTGTTCAACATAAACCTACTATTAACATTGTTTATACAAAATTATTTTTGCAGCTTAGCTGCACTTCTAAGTGATATTCTAGGCAAATACAATATTCAATTTCAATAAAGAAAATTCCTGATAACTCGAACCTCCAAAGAAAACGGTTCAACTAAACAAATGTTCAACTTAAAGGAAGTGTTGTTAAGGGACTATAAAAAGCAGTTTAAGATAACTAAAACTAGATTTGCAAGTCACTAAAAAAATGTAATTTTCAAACAATAAAAATATTATTTAAAAAAACACAGGCTTCCTTTTTTAACAAACAAATATCACCTAAAATAAATTAAAAAGTCAAATACTTTAAATTCACAACTTTATATAAATGCAATTACTTATTTTAGCTTTTTGTTAAATTGTTTAAATTATTATGCTGCATTTGAAATTAAAAAAAAATAAATCAATTCAAACCTTGCAGCCTAGAGCTTTAATTAGAGTGAAGTAACTTTAATAGAACTTAGACTCAAATGCAATTTATAGCAATACATAAATTAAACAAAAAAACATGAAAGACAGGATGAAATGTGTTTATTTTGATTCTACAATCTTTTTAGTATATTATACAAGCAACCTCTTGTTACAGGATGGCCAGCCAACAGCTGATTCAAAATTCCAGGATTTTCCCAAGACTTTTCAATGAAAACTTTGGGTTTTTCAAGGATATATTGATCTTTTATTAACCAGAAAAAAATATATATATATAAATAATATATTAATATATGAAAATATATATTAATAAAAAAAATAACTAAATAATTAGTCGATGGTAATATTACTACATTAAACATAATTTTTTTTTTTACATTACAGAAAATACATAATTATCTAATTCAGTATATATTGACTAAATATATTATCTTATTTAAACAATATGTATATTTTTAAATTCTTATAAGTTAATAATTTAAAAACCTAAAATTATATAGTTCTATATTCTTAATTTTAATATCTACTTTTTTACGATATTTAATGAAATTCCAAAAAGCTACTAGTTTAGTCGTAGTAAAGACAACTGAAAAAAAACATGTTATGCCACTAAATAATAAGAAATGCTAATAAGAATTATTATTAATTTAATGAATTACTTTTACATATTGATTTCCATAACGATCTAAAGCTAAGTACTATGCTAATTGTTAATTATATTTACCTGACATCGTGATGAACATTTCTAACAAACACAGATGTAGGAGTCCTCCCTCCTCTTCGAGACATCTAAAACACACTTTCACTTAATTTTAGCCAGCAACTAGCGATTTTATATTAGGCAGAGATAATAGAATTTTGGGAATCGAAATCACAAAGTTTTGAAGAAAGGAATATGGTAACTAGCTCCCATGGTTCTTTCACCGAGATAAAATCAACGAGGGGGATGGGGTAATTTAGGAAAAGGAGGGGGACGGGGAATATGTGAAAATGTCGAAATTTCAATTCGAAACTTGCTGAAGTGTGCTTTTGGTTTATGGTTAGGATATGTGGTGATGTTGATTGAATAAGTATTTGGTTAAATAAGTTGATTGATAATGATTTTTATTTGTTTTATAGTTGATAATGAAAGGTCAAACAAGTTGGTTGATAGTTTTAAAAAAGATTTTGATTATTTTATACATTTTTTTAGGTATTAGTAGCGCGCTTGCCTCGGAAGCATGATATTGTTGGTTTAAAGCCATTACTGGGCAGTTTTGCGTGATCGGTTAGGAATGAGATGCTCTGTGATAAGGCTATAAGGACTTCTTGGGTCACCAAAAAAAATCTTAAAATAATTATAATTTTTGTTTGAATTTTTTTTTTTTTATTTGCAATTGCCAAGTTGTCAAGTCGTCCATAAAGTACGTACGCTCATAGGGGAGAGGGGGAGGTTCTTCAAAAGCATACGAAGGCGTATGAGGCGATGGGGGGTAGCCCTGCACACACATGCATGGGGCCCCCATGCACACACATGCATAGGGGCCCGCATGATTTTTTGATGTTCTAGATAGGAAACTTTTACACATTGTGCAAACTCCAAACTTAAGCATATTTATACTTATGCCAAATGCGAAGGCCTTGCAAAAAATTAAGAAGGTGTAAGCTTTTTGCATGGATATAACTTTTATAATTTACAATATTTTTCTTCGAAATTTAAAATCTTACTGTAAATTCAAATTTAGTTTTAGATGGTAAAGTTGAATGCGCCCATGCACACAAGCCATCCCTTATATACTGGCCCTGAGTAAGGCGTATTTCAGGCAACCTATTTTTTGAGTCAACAAAAAACAGGTATTAGCAGTGCCGTGGCTAATGGGTCGGAGGCCTTCCCCCCCCCCCCCCTCCAAAAAAAAAAAAACGTGTCATTTGGCTCTCAAAATTTCCCAAATTGTACCGCTAGGTTTTGCAAAAATAAAATTTTTCTTAAATTAGCAAAAGAGCACAAAATTTTCTGCCCCTCTTCCAACTCCCCCCCCCCCCACCAATTAAGGGGTATGGGTATCCTCGGCACTGGGTTTTAGGCTTTGATTTCGATATCACTGATTTCGCGTAGGACTCGTTTTTTACGGACTTACTAAGGAGGGGTGCCTGAGAAAAACGTCCGCCTTGGGTATATTTTATTTTTATTTGAATCGAGCACCGATTCGATTGGGTATATTTTATTTTTATTGGAATCGAGCACCGATTAACTATATAAAAATTATTATTTGTATATACAAATGTATATACAAATAATAATTTTTATATACATTTGTAGACGTTTTTTAAATTGGGATCATGTGCCGCAAACAAAGAGCTTTTGGGTCGTAAAAAGTATTAAAGGTACCTCCTCTTTTTTTTCCATAGACTTTTTTATTTAAAAAAAAAGTGTGTGTGGAGGGGGGGGGGGGGGTATTTTAAAAACGTACTTACTTTTCAAGGAGGGGGGAGGACTAAGAAGTACGCATGGCGGGAGGGGGTCAAATTTCTAAATTTTTGGCGTACGTACTTTATGGACAACTCTTAGGAAAAAAAAAAGGGGAGTTTCTAAAACGCCGAATTCTAAAAAGCCGAAATCACTGATCTTTATAATAACTAGATAGCGCATCTCTAATAGCCAAAATCGCCATATTGGAAAGCCCCAGAACGCTGAACGGAATTTGAAAATACAGAGATTGCGCTTGAAGATTTGTTATTGCTTTACTTACTACTTCTTTTACATTGACTAGATTAAAGTTGCATATTTCAATCATATTGTTATATTTAAGATGTTTGAAAGTTTGAAAATTGAAAAAGTAAAAAAAAAAAAGCACGAACAAAATTAGAGTTAAATGGAAATAAGGAATATAGGAGAACAGACTGTTTAATAATTTGTATTTGTTTTGTATAAACTTGTTACCTTTATTAATCTTCTTATGTTCAATATGAAACTACTTTGCTGAAAGTCAAAATTAATACTTACTCTGGTTACTTTAGAATGTTTATTGTTACAACTTGATGCAATCTTACTTTATAATAGCAGTGAGAAAGTAACTTTATAAGTGTAAAACATAACAAAAAAATATTGTATCAAAGATTTTTTAAATGGTTTTAAATTTTCATAGTTTTTAAAAAACTCAGGATATGTTGGTTTCTTCCGCGACTGCAAAAGTAATATCATCGACTTTATTATAGTAGATTAAAATTGATAATCATACACTACCAAGTTTTAGTTCTGTTAACAAGTTTTAGTTCTGCTGCTTCACAAACTTTTATCCCAATTATAAAAAGTATGAAAAGTTTTAACTTATATAACTACTAAGTTTATATGCTGTTACTAAGTTGTTTTTCTGTTATTTTGGTGACATACGTTACAAGATATTTAAGCGTTTATTGTTTTTCATCAATCAAAGTATGAAAGATCTAAAGACACATATGTAGTTTTATTAAAGTAATTATTATTTCAACTTACATTTATCAGTTGTATCCTGATAATTAATGGTTGAATAATAATAAATCTTGTAAAATTTTGTTCTCAAAAACAAAAGAGAAAATAAAAGAAATACAGGTATAATTATTAATGTCTAATTTTTTAAATTATGTTAGGTTATTCTAGAGCGTTTTACAATTACAGAGTGCTCAATGTTCTTAAGAACAGCAATAATAAAATAGTTAAAACACTTATCTAATTTTTGTCTTCAACATCAAAAACTCATCTAACCAGGAAAAAAGATTTCTTCCTGGTTAGATGAGTTTTTTGACTAATATATATATATATATATATATATATATATATATATATATATATATATATATATATATATATATATATATATATATATATATATATATATATATATATATATATATATATATATATATATATACTATTATTATTATTATTATAAATATATTTCAGACAACAGGTAGATACAATTTAGGTGCCAGGTCCATAGTTTTTACAAAAAAATATTTTTTTTAACTTTGATTAAGAGAACACATGGAATTATTTACTAAGAAACAAGCCATCAACTTTTTACAAAAAGCATGTCTGTAGTTTGAGATAATTGTATGAAGAGATGGTAATCTGTGCTCTAAAAGCATGAGATCATACTTGTTGTAGCCAAAAAACATTTTAGCACATTTGTTGTAGCAATAATGAAGGCGTGCAATTATTTTATCATTATAATTTTGCTGCAGAGGAGTACCATATAAACAAATGTAATATGATTTAAACAATTTAACCTTTACTCTGGTAGAGCATAAATGAAAGTGTCTAGTTAAAACATTTGTACGTGTGTAAAGACCCTTCATCTCCTTGGTTATATCAAGATCATCAGTTAGGTCATTTTAAATTATATGGCCAAGTTATTTAAAAGATTCAACAAAAACAACTTTACAGCCTGATATGCATAATTCTGGGAAGGAGTTTGATATAATTTTTGAGTTGGGTTAAACACCATACATACAGTTTCTTTGTGTTAAAGGATATGTTAATTAAGGAAGATTCCTTATTTGTAAAGCTAATTAGTTTTTGAAGAGAAGACCAAGATAGTGCAATTAAAACCATATCATCAGCGTAAGCCACCTATATTACATCCAATAAGTAGTTTTGAGATTAATAAAATCATATTCTGTATGTAAAAGTTAAATAGAAGTGGGGACAACTCCAAAACTATTTGATTTTGTTTTTTGCCATCGAACAAACATTTGTTGATTACTATACCAAAATGTAAACAAACAAGTTTTTTGGGTCTAGTAATTTCTGAAACAACAGCCAGTAATTGTTTTATTAAAATGTTTTATTAAAGTATATATATATATATATATATATATATATATATATATATATATATATATATATATATATATATATATATATATATATATATATATGTATATATATATATATATATATATATATATATACTATTTACTGCCTAAGGAACCTTTGGGTTGTGTTACACTCACATAGCCCAACTAATGATTCATACAACAATGTGTAAGCTGTTTACTTTGCAAATATGTTACAAGCCTCAGGCATTTTGCAGAGGGTAATTAAGAATCAAAAGGTGCATACTGATTTACATTTGTATCTATCTATTTGTGTGTGTGTGTATATATATATATATATATATATATATATATATATATATATATATATATATATATATATATATATATATATATATATATATATATATATACACACACACACAAATATATATATATATATATATATATATATATATATATATATATATATATATATATATATATATATATATATATATATATATATATATGAATGTTAATTAAGAACTGATATCTATAAAAATAACTATATAAGATTTATTGTAGATAATAATATTATTATTATATTAAATTCCTAAAATATGCACAACACTCTGAACCTCAAAGATCTTTTTTTAATCCGCACATTATTGTATATTCAACTTAGCTGAAGTCTGATATAGTATTTAAAACGATTAGTCGAAAAACTAAGCCAAAGGCTTACTTAAAGTTTTTTTTAAAATGAAAATTATAAATAAATTTTTTAAAAGGCTTACTTATTCAAATATCTGGGGCTTTCCAATATGGCGATTTTGGCGTCAAAAAATTCAAAATTTTGTTCAGAGTTGCGCTATGTAATAAAATATTACATCCGCCTAAAATGTCACATCCCCCATTGAAAAAACGAAAACGAGATTGCGCGTTCAAGTCATTGCACTTAGAAGTGTATTAAATACGTCCGAAACATTCAATTATAAACAATATAATTAAAACGCAACGAGATTCATAAAAACGTTTTTCTACTAATATACTATAAATGAAGTTAGCATAAAATGGTAATATATTTTAAATTCTTATTTATAAAATTTTGATCGTAATGTATTGCGTGACAATATTATAGAAAAAGATTACACATGAGGGATATAATACTTTAGGTAATAAAAATAACAATTGTTTGCAATATTTTAGAAGCCTGCATAAGGGGATAATTTTAAATAAGAATTCCAGTTTCTTTTTGTGACATATACAGAAATAACAAGTGGTGGATGTTATACTCTATATACCAAATACTAATTGTTTAAAATACTTTATAAATTACTTAGGGGGATGTAATTCTTTAGAAGTAGACATCCGGGGGGTGTTATATTTTAAAGTAAGAATTTCAGTTTCTTTTTGTGGTACATACAGTGAATTTTTCAAGAATTTCAGTTTCTGACATATACAGTGAATAAACCGAGGGGATGTGATATTCTAGATATCAAATACTAGTTGTTTGAAATATTGTATAAATTACTTAGGGGGATGTAGTATTTTAAAGGTAAACATAGAGGGAATGTGATATTTTAAGTAAGAATTTCAGTTTCTTTTTGTGGTACATACAGAATTTACAAGTGATGAATCTTATATTTTAAACACTAAATACTAACCGTTTGAAATGTTGTATGAATTACTTAGGAGGATGTAATATTTTAGAGATAAACATAGGGGGATGTGATATTTTAAGTAAGAGTTAAAGTTTCTTTTTGTGACATATACAGTGAATAAACCAAGGAGATGTGATATTCTAGATACCAATTACTAATTGTTTGAAATATTGTATGAATTACTTAGGGGGATGTAATATTTTAAAGGTAAACATAGAGGGGATGTGATATTTTAAATAGCAAATATTAATCATTCAAAATATTGTATGAATTACTTTGGGGCATGTAATATTTTAAAGGTAAACTTAGAGGGGATGTAATGTTTTAGTAAGAATTTCAGTTTCTTTTTGTGGTACATACAAAACTTACTAGTGATGGATGTGATATTCTAGGTACCAAATACCAATCATTTGAAATATTGTATGAATTACTTAAGGGGATGTAATATTTTAAAGGTAAACATAGAGGGGATATGATATTTTAAGTAAGAATTTCAGTTTCTTTTTGTGACATATACATAGAATCTACAGGGGGATGTGATATTCTAGGTATCAAATACTAATCAATTGAAATATTGTATGAATTACTTAGGGGAATGTAATATTTTAAAAGTATACTTTAGGGGGATGTGATATTTTCAGTAAGAATTTAAGTTTCTTTTTGTGGTACATACAGAACTTACAAGTGATGAATGTAATATTGTAGGTACCAAATACTAATCGTTTAAAATATTTTGTAACTTACTTAGGGGGATTTAATATTTTAAAGGTAAACATAGAGGGGATGCGATGTTTTAAGTAAGAATTCCAGTTTCTTTTTGTGACATATGCAGAGACTCCACAGGGGAGATGTGATATTTTAAGTACCAAAAATAAATTGCTTGAAATATTGTAGAAAAATACTTAGGGGGATCTATTATTTTAGAAGTATACATAAGGGGGATTGTGATATTTTAAGTAAGAATTTTAGTTTCTTTTTATAGTACAAACATAATTTACAAGTGATGGATGTGATATTCAAGATAGCAATTACTACTCATTTGAAAAATTTTATGAATTACTTAGGGGATGTAATATTTTAATTATAGACATAGGGATGTAATATTGGGGAATATTTAAGAAGCCTGTATAGGGAGATTTGGTATTTTAATTTAGAATTTTAGCTGTTATTTGCAAAATGTGCAGAGATTACATAAACAGTCTTTTTTCATTTTCTTTTAGATTTAATTGAGCTAACAAATTAAAAATGTATTATTGTTCAATGAATTCATATGTATTGCCTCCGACAAGTTAAAGTATTATAACAATACAAGAAGTCACTAAAACTAGGGAAAAAAAAATTTCACCCTTTTTTATCTATATGGGCATAAACATTTAAATTGGTTCAATTTATGACAAAATTTTGAAGAAAAAGAAATGACTGCAATTTCAAAGTTTCATTTATTAGTTAATATATATATTTAATACATTTGTATATAAATATGTTCACAACAAAATAAAGTTTCATTTCTAAAAACAATGCATCTCATACAGTACCATCGATTTAAATGCATATATCACATTTGATCTAAAAATAAATATTTAATGAACATTTTTCTATTTGAATATTTAAAGTATTTTTTTCTATTTGAAATTTTTATTAAAAAATAATTAAAATATATTTTATTACTCATTTAATTTTTTTTTTGATTCTTTCTAGTTTTTGGACCAATTTCACTTCCACAAATGCGACACAAACTATTCTGCCAACTCTTCTGACCTATTGATTTAATTTTTCATCATTTTTTTTTTGTCTTTTTTATAGATATCATTTAACATTAAAGTAGTATAAACATTTTCAGTTCTCTAAAGAATCTCACAAATCTCCTTTATCTCTCTTTCTGTATGCATTAACTTCTTCATGTGGAAAGACACGCACAAATACTTCTCCATTTGTATAACTTTCAGCAAACTAAAATATGTAAGCTTATATATATATATATATATATATATATATATATATATATATATATATATATATATATATATATATATATATATATATATATATATATATATATATATATATATATATATATATATATATATATATATATATATATATATATATATATATATATATATATTTATAAATATATATATATATATATATATATATATATATATATATATATATATATATATATATATATATATATCCATTAAAGTTAAGACTCTTAAAGTTACCTTAAGGCAGAATACTCCAAATGTTATACCTTCAGCTTGTATGGCATGTGGTAATGTTAATATTTCAAACTTTTCTGAAACACCATATCTTTGCTGTAAGTAACAACTATTGTATAATAGTAAAAAAATTATAAAAGATGTAGATACAAATTTTGACATAGGAATATCTAATAATAATAATATCATACTTCCATTTCACTTCTTCTTTTTTGATGGAATTTGTCTGTTCTCCCATAGGGTCCATAGAGTGAATTGTTTTATTACCTGGTTTGATTATCTAAAACACAAGTGATTTTCAAAATCAGGTTCAAAGTTAGGTTCCCTGTAAAAAAATGGGGAATCTAACCTATCACTAAAAGTTAAACCTTTTGTACTTAGAGAAATAAACGTTTTCAAAAAACAATTATACTATTTTACATACTGCAAGCGTCCAATGAAATTTTTCCACCATACAGCATATTAGCATATCTTGTTTAAAGCTTTTTCTATGAATATATATATATATATATATGTGTGTGTGTGTGTGTGTGTGTGTGTGTGTGTGTGTGTGTGTGTGTGTGTGTGTGTGTGTGTGTGTGTGTGTGTGTGTGTATAAATGCTCTATAATTAAATTAATGAATCATTAATTTTTTTAGATAAAAGTTTTTGAATACCTTATGCCGTCTTCGTATTAAATCAGTTTTAATTGGCAATTCATCCAGTGAGAGTAGCCCAGCTGGCTACAGTACTTCGATTCGATTCTTCAAAGCATCAATAAATGGAAAGGCATTCAATATATTGTTTTATATTTAGAATTCAAATTTTATTTAAATGAAGGCAAATTTAAAATAAAAAATGCAATAAGGGTTTTTTTGTTCAAAAATTTTATTATGAAGTACATTAATTAATCATACTTTTTCTTTACTGTTTACTAATATTTTGAGATAAATATTAACAACTTCGTCACTGAGACATTCGTTTAAAGTGTTTTGTAACGAATAATCGTATACCTTGCAGCCTCCTAAGACTTTTACAGGGTTTTTAATATGGATACATTTTATTATTCCGTGACCCGTGACCTATTTATGAAATGCAATTTAAGCATAATTTTATCAAAATTTAAGCATAAGCCTTTTATCTAATAAAATAACGACTGTTACATTTATTGAAGATTACATGTTTTAAAACTCTTCACATATTTTTTCACCAGGTGGGATGTTTAAATTAATTATTTAAATTAGTTTACATAAAAATCTTTATTTCATTCGTGCGCCACTGAATAATACATACCTTCTGTATCGTCAACTATGTAGCTTTTTTTCGTATTTACTATCTCTAGAATATTAAAATGAATAAAAACAAATTAAAATAAAACCCTAACAATTATATATGAATAGGTAAGTTTTAATACATACCTTCACTATCTTCAACTACAATGGTTTTTATTGGCTTTTTTATTCTCTAAAAAATAAGCGATACTTTAAAATAAAATCCTAACATTTATAAAAGAAAAATTAACTTTTTAAATCCTACTTTTACCATCTTTTACTACAAAACTATTTTTTGTATCTGCCACTTCTAAAAAAACAAAACATTACAATAAAAAGGTAACGCTAACAAAATGTAAAAGTGATTTATTATTATATACCTTCACTGTCTTTAGCTGCAAAGGTTTTTATAATTATCTGCCTCCTCTAGAAAATAAATTATAAATAAAATAAAACGCTAACAATTACAAATGAATAAGTAAGTTTTTAATTCATACCTTCACTATCATTAACTTCAAAGCTTTTTGTTGGTGTCTCTCCCTTCTCTTGAAAATAAACCATAAAATAAAACAATGATAAAATATATGTTTAAACTATAAATTAAAATAAGAAAACGAATATTTTACCCGAGTATAAATCAAAAAACAATAAAAATTGTTTTCATATTAGTATTACCCGTAGAAAGTTAAACAAATATTAGGCTTGAAGAAAAAATAAAATATTTTATAAATAGAATGAAAACTTTATTGAAGTAACAGATATACCAGTAACTTTTACAGAGTAACAAAATTTAAAAAAAAACATTTCTCTTCTCAGCGTTTTTTAAAGACGTTTAAAAACCTGTATTATGCGTAATAAAATTTAGACGCCTTTGAATAGCTAAGGGTTTCTGTGTCAAGTGTCTGACAAAGATGTCTTTTAAACTAAAATAAGTGAACATAAACTCTCAACCTCAACTAATATGTTTAAAAATATAATGTAACTTCACTTTGTTTTAGCTCATTCTTTTTCTAGCGCTTATCTCTATTTAAACCTTTTAATTTTCTAAACTGATCAAAACGAGCTTCTTGATTCCCAAAAAAGTTATGTCAAATATTGTGCGGCCGTGGCGCAGTGGTTAGATTGTATGCTTTATAAGCAGGAGATCCAGGTTCAAAACGAGCTTTGGACATATTTTGCGTCATGGTAAGGAAGGAGGCGTGAACTTCCTGGTTAAATGCACTTCCGCGGTGCTCTGTGAGAAGACCGTTAGGACTTCTTGGGGTACCTAAGTAACAAATTTAAAAATATATATATATATTATAAATAAGGATAATCTCTGTGCAGGTCTTTTTGTTATATTTATTATGGCTACACGTTGGTACTGGGCTCGTTGAATAAAAATTTAATCAATCTTTATTATAACAATTAATATAGTCAATTTTGTTACCTAATTCAATCATTTAAACTAAGCCACCCCGCTCTCGTCTTTTTTTCAAATTTGTTGAATTCAACACTATAAATCTGTCATTATAGAGATGATTGTTATTTGTTAGTGAAATCTTCTTCGAACAATCCTGCACTTTAGCATTAGCTAAGTGCATAAATACTATTGAGCAAGTATTATTTTTAGCATTAGCTAATAGCATAAATACTATTGAGCAAGTATTATTTTTGCACGCTATTCTAGCGTGGAAAAATAATACTTGCTCAATAGTATTTTTTTTCAAAATTTTTATTTTTACAAAAATGTTGTGTTAACATTTAATGGAACATATATATATATATATATATATATATATATATATATATATATATATATATATATATATATATATATATATATATATATATATATATATATATATATATATATATATATATATATATATATATATATATATATATATATATATATATATATATATACAACAAACCGTTTATGTACTTTGTCTTTTCCATCTTTTACAGTACATTATTCTTTATCATTTTAGTTCAGTATGATATTGGATGATTCTAATACACGAAATACATGACTTTATATTTTATTGTAATAAATATAAGTTAATTTTTTAACTGCCACTTTTAAAAATTTGTATAATTTTAATAATTGTGAACTGGACTAAATATTATTAACTTGCCTCAACAGGCTCAATAATCACATTATATTTCCATACCAAACCACACAAAGGGTGGTTTGGTATGGAAATATAATGTGGTACAATATTTGAGATACATTTCTTACTTAAATTACACATCCACCCTATGCAGGCGTCTAAAATATTACATCCCCCGAAGTAATTCTTAACAATATTTCAAACGATTAGTATTTTGTGTTTTAAATGTCAGATTCCTCACTTGTAAATTCTGTTTGTATCACATAAAGAAACTGAAACTTTTACATAAAATATCACATCCCGCCCCCCTCTATGTATAAAATATCACACACACACACCCCCCTCTATGTATTACTTCGGGGGATGTAATATTTTAGATGCCTGATTAGGGTGGATGTGTAATTTAAGTAAGATATATTTTTAAAATAAGTAATTCTTTACAATACTTCATTAGGTATCAAAAACTAATCAACGATTAGTATTTGATACCTAGAATATCACATTCCCCCTATTTATTCTCTATATATGTCACAAAAAGAAACTGAAATTCTTACTTAAATTACACATCCACTATATTCAGGCGTCTAAAATATTACATCCCCCTAAGTAATTCATAAAATAATTCAAACAATTAGTATTTGGTAACTAGACTATAACAACCATCACTTATAATTTCTGTATAAATAACATAAAAAAAACTGAAATTCTTTCTTAAAATATCACATCCTCACTATGTATACTTCTAAAATATTACATCTCCCAAAGTATTTTACAGTATTACAATATTTCATTTGTGAGTTCTGTATGTACCACAAAAAGAAACTTAAATTCTTATAATATCACATCCCCTCCATGTTTATCTTTAAAATATTACATCCCCCTAAAGATTTCATACAATATTTCAAACTATTAGTATTTGGTATCTAGAATATCACATATCCTCGGTTTATTCTCTGTATATGTCACAAAAAGATAAAATAATTTAAACAATTAGTATTTGGTACCTAGAATATCACACCCGTCACATGTAAGTTCTGTATGTATCACATAAAGAAACTAAAATTCTTTCTTAAAATATCACATCCCCCTTATGCATACTTCCAAAATATTACATCCTCCTAAGTATTTCTTTAGAATATTTCAAACAATTAGTATTTGAAGTTTAAAATATCACATTTCCCCTGTGCAGACTCTGTATAAGTCACAAAAAGAAACTGAAGTTTTTAATTAAAATATCACATCCCCTCTATGTTTACCTTTAAAATATTAAATCCCGTAAGTAATTTACAAAATATTTTAAATGATTAATATTTGGTACCTAGAACATCACATGAATCACTTGTAAGTTCTGTATGTACCACAAAAAGAAACTTAAATTCCTACATAAAATATTACATTCCTTCTATGTTTACTTTTAAAATATTACATCCCCCTAAGTAATTCATGCAATATTTCAAACGACTAGTATTTGGTATATAGAATATCACATCCCCTTAGTTTATTTACTGTATATGTCACAAAAAGAAACTGAAATTCTTACTTAAAATATCACATACCCCTTATGTATACTTTTAAAATATTACATCCTCCAAAGTAAATCTTAACAATATTTCAATTTATTAGTATTTAATACCTAGAATATCACATCCCCCTGTTTATTCTCTGTATATGTCACAAAAAAAACCTGAAATTCTTACTTAAAGTATCACATCCCCCCTAATGTAGACTTCTAAAATATTACATCCCCCTAAATAATTCATACAATATTTCAAATGATTGGTATTTGGTACCTAGAATATCGCATCCCTCACTTGTAAGTTCTGTATGTACCACAAAAAGAAACTGAAGTTCTTACTGAAAATATTACATCCCCTCTAAGTTTACCTTTAAAATATTACATCCCCCAAAGTAATTCATTCAATATTTTGAACGATTAATTATTGCTATTTAAAATATCACATCCCCTCTATGTTTACATTTAAAATATTACATCCCCCTAAGTAATTCATACAATATTACAAACAATTAGTAATTGGTATCTAGAATATCACATCTCCTTGGTTTATTCACTGTATATGTCACAAAAAGAAACTTTAATTCTTACTTAAAATATCACATCCCCCCTATGTTTATCTCTAAAATATTACATCCCCCTAAGTAATTCATACAACATTTCAAACGGTTAGTATTTAGTGTTTAAAATATAAGATTCATCACTTGCAAATTCTGTATGTACCACAAAAAGAAACTGAAATTCTTACTTAAAATATCACATTCCCTCTATGTTTACCTTTAAAATATTACATCCCCCTGAGTAATTTATACAATATTTCAAACGATTAGTATTTGATATCTGGAATATCGCATCCCCTCGGTTTATTCACTGTATATGTCGGAAAAAGAAACTGAAATTCTTACTTTATAATATAACATCCCCCGGATGTCTACTTCTAAAGTATTACATCACCCTAAGTAATTTATAAAGTATTTTAAACAATTAGTATTTGGTATATAGAATATAACATCCACCACTTGTTATTTCTGTATATGTCACAAAAAGAAACTGGAATTCTTATTTAAAGTATCACATCCCCCCTATGCAGGCTTCTAAAATATTGCAAACGATTGTTATTTTTATTACCTAAAGTATTATATCCCTCATGTGTAATCTTTTTCTATAATATTGTCACGCAATACATTACGATCAAAATTTTATAAATAAGAATTTAAAATATATTACCATTTTATGCTAACTTCATTTATAGTATATTAGTAGAAAAACGTTTTTATGAATCTCGTTGCGTTTTAATTATATTGTTTATAATTGAATGTTTCGGACGTATTTAATACACTTCTAAGTGCAATGACTTGAACGCGCAATCTCGTTTTCGTTTTTTCAATGGGGGATGTGATATTTTAGGCGGATGTAATATTTTATTACAGCTATCCAGTTATTATAGAGATCAGTGGCCGGTTAGCAGATAAAAGTATCACTCAAAAGGCGATCAAAGTCCAACTGCTAATTTAATATAATTTATGCGTAAATTAATTGTTTGAGAAAAAAACAAAATGGAGCGCAATAAGAAAGTTAAATTTTGAAGTCAATTTATTCTGGCACTATATAAGAAAAATAAACTTTGTTTACAAGGAATATTATAAAATAATAAACTGTTTCTTATTTACAACATAATTTTTTTAGAACTTTTGAACATTAATAAAATGCAAAAGAAAAAATGATTTTAATTTTTTTTTATATGAATTTTTTACATCTTATATAATTATCTATATTGAAGTTATATAAATACTATATAATGCTACTAGTTACATAAATAGTTATTAAATAATCTCTTTTCATAAACACTACTTATATAAATAGTTACTAAATAATCTATTTTTATAAATACTACTAGTTACATAAATATTTATTAAATAATATCTTTGAGGTATGAAGTAATAAGTACAACCTTTTTCACATTATTTTATATTTCTGAAAAGCAAAGGTCTAAGTGTTATGCATTCGGTTATATTTTAACAAAGCTTATTTAAGCTTTCTACTCGAATAAAAAATTAATAAAGTGTTAAACTGTTGTTGTTGAATTATATTCAACTTTCGTTTCAACGCGAACAAAGAAAAAGGATAAATAAAATACATCTACAAATATGGAGTCAGTATAATAATTTGTTTGTATTATTAACAAACCATTTTTTAAATTAGGATATTTACGAAACTAAATAATAACTAAAATAATAAAAACATTTTATAACATAGAGCTGCATTTTGAACATGACCAATCTGCACACTTGTCTTCCAAAACATAATCAGGGATACGTTCACAAGCGCGATGATACCAATTTTCGCATATTCCGCATTGCACCATATGTCTAAATATAATCCCCAGTTAGACAAAAAGAAATTACATAAACAGAATACAATGCATTGAGTTATATTTACCTATCTTTAATATAACTATCCGAAGCTAACCAGACTTGTCTACAAATGCAGTACAAGGAAAAATTGAATTCTTTTTCTTTGCAGAATCGCATAGCTGTTTCGGACTTTGGAAACTGAGTAAACTGATTGCCTTTCACACATTTTAGCAAATGATTTCTCATTTGAAAAGCGTCAAAAGCAACATAACTTGGATTTGATCTAGTATCGGTAATATGTTTTATAAAGGCTAATGCGTACAAACCACAATCAACATAATTTGTTTGTTGTTGCACCGGTACAACGCGGACAGTTAATTTATCTTCATTGCAATGCATAATAGCACAAATTTGCCTAACCACATGGTTTTTTACTTTTCCACGAAAAAAACTGTCTAAAAGAAAAACCTCACCAACAGAACATCCAAAATTACTTATAGCCAACTAGTGGGCATCGCCATCATGCAACACCTGGACAAAAGATGCTTTTTGTACACGGAACGATAGATTTTGTCCAAGAACTGGGTTTTGGAGACCGCCTACACCTGTGATCATCTTTTGCATGGTGTGGATTACAATGTCAGATAACATTTGGTTTGTTAAAATATCGTTCAAATCATTGGGAGAGAGATTACAGTTAGGTGATAAATGGTTTAGTCTTTTCATCTCGAATCCATCATTTTCATTAATAGTAACTGACTCATCATCAATAATTATACTATTTCCATCAATATGTTCAATAATGTCGACCTCAATCGGCTCGGTTTTGTGTTTTTTTTCCTCTAGAAATATTTTAGAAGATGCAATAACCATATCTTTGTGATTACCTACGCGATCAGTAGGAAGCTTCATTGGTTTACGAACAGGAATTGGAATGTTCCTTTTTAAATGACAAGGCAACTTGATATCCAATAGAGAAAGCGGAATTCCTGATTCTTTAGTTCTATTTTTTTCAAGTTTTTTAATGAGAGAAGCAAGAGTGCTATAAACAAGAACAATTTCTTCTGAATTTTCCTCAAATTCATATGTTAGGTTTTGAATTGTTGTAAGCATTTCCCTAACATTTACTCCAGAGCAAACACTTGTAATTTTTTTAGATTTTTTATTCCAATCATTAATGACATCTAATTCTTTTTTAGGTAGAATTGAACTTTCCGGCCTACTAAATGGTGGTTTTTCGTGTGATGCTTCGTAATCATCAGCATCTAAGTTTAAGAATGGTGAACTTAGATATAATGATGACAAAGCACTCCATGACCAAGCAGGGTACTTTCTAAATACTAAAAAAAAATGTTTGCATGGATATGCAGTTGATATCCAATTTAAACAAGTACATTTTGGCATTGTAATCTCATCACCAAATGATACAAAATATTTAGTAGCTGGCTTGGTAGAACTTAATACAGCAAAAACTCCATGTTTAATCATGATTACTCCGGACAAATCAAGATTCTCAACGTTACTTTTTTTTATTAGGCAATGTTTAACAAAGCTATGAGGACGGTTGTAAAGATAACTTGGCACCCAACGTGCATACCTTCTGTAACGTGCATCCATTTTAAAGTTGGAATCAGTATAGCTAAATGAAATAATATTCATAGTAACAAAGTTTCTTTAACAAAGTATTAGGAAAAATCCAATATTGTGTAAATGAATGTAAATGATTTGGTATGTAGTACCATAGACACGATATCTTTAAAATGCAAAATCTAATGATAAGTAAAAAAATTTTTATATTAGTTACGTGAACAATCTATACAATGAATTATTATTAAATATATAGGGTAAAAACCTGCTGTTAACATACTTATACCTAAGTTTTCTGAACTTGTTTTTTTTTAACCAGAGAAAGTGTTTGTTGTTTTTATTTAGGTGTTTATTACTTTTTAAAATTGGTACAAACGTAACGAAACTTTAAAAAAATGATACCTGTCAAGTTTATCAATGAAGAAGTCATCAATAAGCAAAGTTAACATTCCAGTCAATGATGAGTTTTTATGTCGCTGTAAATAAGTATATTTAAAAGACTCATTCTGCCTTTCCACACCATTGTTTGTATTGCAATTGATAAGAAGACGATCCTGCCTGTACCACCAAACCCACCTCTAATTTAAAAAAAGCTTTTTTTTTTTATTTTGTTTTGTTCAGTTAAATATAAAAAAATTAAATAACTTTTTATCGAATCTTCCTGTATTTCAATAATTTTATATTTTACATACTTTTTTAATTGGGAGCCAATACTTTTCTATATATTGTTTAAACTTAGTAAAGCTTTCTTGACTCCAGAATTCAGACTGTTCCAATATTCTTTGAGCATTTTCTTCCTCGTCAATTGACTTTGACCAAGCGAGTCGTCTTAAAATACATAAAATATCATCTTTTCTGTTAGAGCAACCACTTGATAGCTTTTTTAGCCAACGGTCCCAAGACTGTTCTCTGTGAAAGTCACATATAAATACCTTACACCCTAAAAAATATATTAAAAATCAGTTGATTCATTGGATGTTTGTATAGTTAAATTAACTTCATGTAAAATAAATAAATACGCACCAATAAAAATAGTTTCGAGAGCACGTATCTCAGCATTACAATAATCAGTCATGCAATAAAGAGGTTGCAAATTTTCATTCCAAGACTTTAAGATAACAAGTGCTTCAGATATCGATTCAAAAGTTTCACTTTCGCTTACAAAGGTTGCTACAATTTGATAATCCACATTTGTTTTGACAACCAAAAAAAATAAAGGTAAAGAATATCGTGTCGTTTTGTATGTTGCATCCAAAAACAACATCTCATTCCCATATTTTTTTAGCAGTTTTTTTTTGCCAAAATGCTTGGTATACAAACAAGAGCTCAGCACTGTTACCCTGTTCTTTAGGTCGAAAATAGATATTGGCAGATGAGTCAGCTTCTTTCCATTCTTTTATTTTGATTTCTAAGCAGTCTTGGTCGATGTTCGAGTATCTAAAGCGTTAAATTTTATTGTCTGCTTTATAAAATGAAATATTAAATTATAAAAATTAGTAACATAGCCTTGTTGTTGTTTTTAATTATATGATTGAGTGATTAATTGATTGAATTGGTTGATTAAAAAGATTGATTAAATTAATGAATGACTGAAGTTATCTTTAATATTTAATAAACACCTAAAACCTCTCTTAAATAGTCCTACATATTATAATATTTGCAACATCAAAATTTATTTATTTTGCATTTTTTAAACTCTATTATCTTTGCTTTAGACGCTCTTTTAGTATCTTGTATGATAACATAATCAGTTATGTATAAATGATCCACTTTCTTTAAAAAAAAATAGCCAAAGTGAACATAAATTTATTTGACAACGATGCGAATTGTAAAAATAGGAGAATCTTTACCTGATTTTCTTTTGCTTCATTATGCTTCCTTTTTGCAGCAGCGTTCCGATCGAAACCATGGTGACAATTGTATCTTTTTGTAGATAATATAATATAAGGAGTAGCATAGTCTTCAGATGTTTCCCATAATACTTTATGTTGGGTTCCATGTATAACTAAGCAAGGAAATTAGGATATTATGTTTTGTGTATGATTTCAAATCATGTGATTGTGCAGAATTATTATGCACACACATTAGAACAACGATGTAGTTAAGGTGATTTATTAACTATTGATACATTATATTTCTAATTCGCACCATTTATTTTTTTTGTGTGAGTCGGCACCTCTTATTATATTTTAACAATCATTGTTCTCTTTTTTTAACATTAGTTAAAAATGTTACTACAACCAACACAAAGTCTAAAGAACATCATTTTAAAGGGATATTGATTTTCCTCAATAGCGTTAAATAAAATTTTTGGAAAAAATTTGTCTTTTCACAACAGATCCTTGTTCAAATCTATTCAGGTGCATTTAATTTAACTTTATTTTGATTTTAATATCACATTTAATTTAATATTAGTTAAAATATAACATTTCTATAAAGTTTCAAACAAATTTAGGAATAGAATAAACCAATAATTAAAAAAAAATTCTTAAGACTGAGCTAAACTAATAATAATAAAGAATGATAATTACTTCATCTATATAACGCACTTATTTTTAATTATAAAAAAATCTGAAAAAGGAAGCCAAATTTTTTCTTAGTCAATTTTTGGTCTAGGTTTTCGTAAGAAATATTTAAATATTATAAGTTCATATATTTCGCGCGTATGCAGAAATTAAAATAACAGTCATTGTTTCCCCATAATTATTTTATATTACAAATAACATTAATTCTTCTTAAAATATATACAAGTATAATTTGTTTGCTTTTACAGCGTTTTAAAATAAAAGTTCCTCGTTTATTTATCTAATAACATTTAGTTACACAAAAATTACAGATTTCAATAGATACACGCTGTCAAATTAAGTACCAAGTCTTCATGAAAATCTTTATACTATGCAAAATAAATTGCACCAATACGGCGTATATAAGCACCAGTTTATAGAATCAATTTTTTTTTAATCTAGCTTAAGTTTATTTTGTCCAAGTCAAAGTAATTAGTTAAACATGTTAGGTATATTAGAAAAAACAGTAAGTTTATCAAAACAAAGGTTCCATTTACGTTAAAAAAAAAAAGAAGCCTTGTTTATTGATATTTTACTAAAATTGGATCGTTTACATTTCCAAATTGAATCCAGTAGGTCTCCTGTAAAAAGAAAAAAAAAAAAAAAGAAAAGGCTATTATTAGGCTATTAAATTGTACATCCAACTGAAAATGTTTAATATATAATTTCGTTTATAGTTTTTTTTCTGAAGCACATGCTGATATTCTGACAACTCAATATGCAAATTAATCAGAAATTAAAGAAAAACAAAAGCAAATAAAAAATGTACAATAGGTTAAACATAAATGGTTATAATTAAAAGTTTATATTATTTACAGTGATCATCTATAAGACGCGGGTGCATCTCCTGTGTATCCACCAGATTAAATAATAAGTTGAGGAATGAAAAATGCGTTTTCAAGAATATAAAAATCAAGGTTGTTAATTAATGATTAATAAAAACTGATGAAAATTACACCAATGTGTTGTTCCCATGAATCGACGTAATGCAATTTTTTAAATATAAATACGACATTCTAGAAGAGTGGAAGCAACTTCTTACAACCAGATGTCAAACCAATAACTTGTTTTGCCAATCAGAGTAGAGTAATTGTCATAGTACAATTAAGAACATTAGCATTTAAGATTTTTTGAGTTATTTCTTACCTTAACTCAGATTAAATTTTTTTATGTGTGGTTTTATTACTACTTACTTTGTTTGTGGTGATGTTTGTTTTAATGTTCCAATCCAATGTTAATTAATGGTCAAAAAAGTAAATTCCAGTCATGTAAATTTACTAAATTAAATCCATTTATCAACAGTATTTTTGCTGAAATAAAAAAAGAAAAGAAAAATAACATGGAAAAAAAAGAATTTTCAAAATCACCATAACTACACCGAGTTCACAAAACTTTTAATATTTATAAAAGTAAATATTGTCACTTTTCCAGATAATGTAAGCTTGAGTTAAAAAATATATATTATACCTGAACTTCCAAAGCTCTTTGGAGTGGAAAGGGCAGCAAACCTAACAGAATTACTGATTTCATAACTATGAAGAAATCGAGTAGCTTCCTCAACTGAATCGCAAATGCAAGGCTTGGTGTTGTCTAAAACTTTAAACTCATTGAGATATTATATTATATTAATAATCATATCAAAGAATAAAAAAAAACAAAAAACCTTTCAAAGTTGTAGTGTCTTCTTCTACTTTATATGTATCAGTAATGTCTTCATAATCGGACAAATCTGAACCAGAGCTAAAAAAAATTTAATAATCTAGAATAATGCATAATAGCTTTTGCTATTTTACTTATTTTACAGTGATTTTGATTAATAATTAAAATTCATCAATAAACTTTGTGACGAGGAGAGCAAATAAGTAAAACTAATCATTTAAATGATGTTCAGTTTTAGAAGCTGATAAGGATACACGTGGCAGAGCTAAAGTAAAAGGCTGCAAATTCAAATCATTGTGTTACTTGTATACCGAATCCCAGGCTCTGTAAAACCAAAATCTAAACCCCATGTTGCAAATATAAAGCATGGCTAATAACATACTTTTGAAAGTTGAAAATGAAATATAACTAGCAACATATATATAAAAAGATTATTTATTTTTTTATTAGTTACTAATGGCATCATTAGTTATGTAATAATGTCATTAAGACATAACAAACTACGTAGATGTTAGTCCATGACAAAACCCATTTTTTAATACACAACTTGTTGAATTATGCTATAAAAAAATTCTGGAAAATGACTGAGATAGTATTGATTTTAAATGAGATCCAGTGGTCAATTACATGTCCTAAGAAAAAATGTTATCTGATTTGAGTTAAGAAAATTGTGCTTTACCAAACCAAAAAGGTTGCCATTTCTTCTTTTGTTTTTCACTGATTCAAAGAAGATCTTATAGAATTGACCTATAAAACTCATACATTATCTTGTATACTTGTTTTAGGTCAAATCTGTGTCATTGTTGTACAAGTGTCTATAAACCTAATTTAAGTATTGTCTGTATATGGAAGATGTTTTGCAACTATTATCAATTTGCTAATCCCATGATGTACTTTTTAGATTATCTTTTTAATAATCTTCAACATAAAAAGATGACAGAGTGATGCGAAATATTCCATGTGTGGATTTACTAATAAATTATCAAGTTTTAACACTTTATTAGAGTGCTCGTTATATTTAACTCTGATATATTTAATACATTTAACAAACATCAAAGTTAGATACACAAGCTCTAGGAGGGTGCATTATTAACCAACTTAAGTTAAAGTTGCATTTATTTGAAAAAAATTTGTCCAACATGTTTAAGTCTTAAAAGATAATGAATATATTATAACAGACTATAATTAGGGCATGGTTGTGACAATGTCATGGGCCATGGTTACAACAAGATCTATGTTCAGGGCCAAAAACTAGTGAAAAAACTAAAATAGTCCTTGTTCTTGGTACCAAGAACGAAGCCACATATTTCAAACTTTAAATTAAAAATGTAAATAGTTCTAAAAATGTAAATAGGTCTAAAAAATGTCCTGTATCTTGTAATAGATAAAAAAAAAACCGTTCATAATTATTAAAAAAAACAAACCTTTTTATAGAATTATTTACCTTATTGACATTATTCTATTTACACAAAAATGTTAACTAAATCAAAGACAATGAAGAATTGAATGTTATGAAAACAAGGCACCGTGATATTGACAAAACAACAATTATAAAATCACAATAAGATTAACGGTTTCAAAACAGATATAACAGTGGCAATTAGAACAATATTGAAGTTCACTTTCGTTCCTAAACGGCTGTAAGAGTAACATGTGATCTCGAAGCTATTTTTAGCATATTTTATTTAATTTTGCATATGTAATTTCCGCATAATTACGTATAATTTTCAAGTGGACTTTGATCGCCTTTTAAGTGATACTTTCGTTCGATAACCAGCAATATATAGTAGAAGTCAAAAGTACGCCTCGTTTTCAAAATTGATTCGGTCGCCGTAGTAATAGTTTGTGTAAAACTAGTGACTTCTATTCTAATTTTTTCGATTGAAATCTTGCGTTGTACTTTTGACTTCTAGTGTAAGATTTATACTTATAGTATAAGACTAGCGTTGTACTTTTGGCTTCTAGTGTAAGATTTATACCTTTAGTATAAAACCAGCGTTGTACTTTTGACTTCTAGTGTAAGATTTATAGTTATAGTACAAAACTAGCGATGTACTTTTGACTTCTAGTGTAAGATACATCTATTGTAAGAACTGACATCTACTGAAAGATTTATACTTTTGGTATAAAACTTGTACTTTTGACTATAATTTAAATTATTATCATTATTTTTATTATAAAAAATTGTAACATAAAATTCCAAAAACTTGACAAAAAGCAATAATTAGTTTTCTAATGTAAAGAAGTAAACACAATTGCTCTTACCGCAATAGAGTTGAGTTCGACTTGTTTTTCTAAACTGTTTGCTAATGATCAATTAAGTAAATTTCAAATCATAAAAATTACTTACTTTATATTCTGGAAATTCTAAGTATTCTGTTATGATAAGTTGAGCTGGGCAATCAAATTTCTTACAATTCTGTATTCTAGCATATTTTCTTCTGCAATCATGATCAATGTTCTATAAAAAGATTTTTTAAACTCAAATTTAGAAAAAAAAAAATTTTTTTTGTTAATTTTAAAATGAAATTTTTGTATGTTATAAAAAAAAATTATTTATTGCTTTAAATACAATTAACTCACTAATGCTTTTCTGTTTTGTTTGTTGTATTCTTTCCTACTTAAGTTTCTATCATATCCATGATGGCAATCAAAAATTTTTGTGCCAATCATCATGAATGGTATACCAGAAAACTCAATGGAATCAGTAGACCAATAAATTTTGTGGGGTTTTTTCTTTAAATCTATTTAAAAAAAGTCTAATTTTCAGAACTTTTTAAATAATAGTGGAATATTGTTTAATTTATCGACATATTAAAATACACATATACATAATTTAATGTTTATTATAACAGTTTTTCATTATTATAATAAATAACGATTATGAGGGTATCAATATCCCCTTGAAATTATTGTAAAAATAAATATATTTTAACAAATAGGAGTAAATCTATAAAAAAAAAATTTATTAAAAAATATCTCAATATTGGTTTTTTTGATTTTGAGATAAGTATGCAGTATTGTTATATTTCATTAGATTTTCTATTTGGTCAAACTACGATTGATGCAGTTTATACAGAAATATCTATAGTTAATACAAAATTAATTTTTATTATTACCCAATGTATGGCAAAAAATCAAATATTCAATTTTTTCTCTAGCAAACTGTCATATTGGCACTTATCATAAATTGACCAATAGCCACAGCTATCTTTCTATCTATCTATCTATGTATCTCTCTCTCTCTCTCTCTCTCTCTCTTTATATCTTTATATATATATATATATATATATATATATATATATATATATATATATATATATATATATATATATATATATAAATATATATATATAAATATATATATATATATATATATATATATATATATATATATATATATATATATATATAAAGAGGTTTATAATATATATATATATATATATATATATATATATATATATATATATATATATATATATATATATATATATATATATATATATATATATATATATATATATATATATATATATATATATATATGTATATATATATATATATACAAAGAGGTTTAAAATATATATATATATATATATATATATATATATATATATATATATATATATATATATATATATATATATATATATATATATATATATATATATATATATATATATATATATATATATATATATATATATATATATTATAAACCCTTGGAAATTTTTACGCAATAAAAGAATTTTTTTATTGGGTAAAAACATGCAGGGGCAGGGAGCCAAAGCTATATATATATATATATATATATATATATATATATATATATATATATATATATATATATATATATATATATATATATATATATATATATATATATATATATATATATATATATATATAAATACATACATATATATATATATATATATATATATATATATATATATATATATATATATATATATATATATATATATATATATATATATATATATATATTTATATATACACACACAAACACACACACACATATATATATATATAAATATATTGATATGCAATATACCAGTATTTCCAAAGTCTTTGGTAGAAAAGGATGTACTAAATCGAACAGTATACTCAAGTTCATGGTCTTTAATAAGTGTGTGTGCTTCATCCAAATTTGATGCAGTTTTATAAAGCGGCATAATTAACTAATTTGCATTACTAAAAAAAACAGTGGTATATATATATATATATATATTATATATATATATATATATATATATATATATATATATATATATATATATATATATATATATATATATATATATATATATATATATATATAAATACACATATATCTTATTATACTGCCACTTATTGGGACAAGTTTAAATAAAAAATGAATACTTAAAGTGGAAATAGTAAAGAAATTTTTGTTTAACTTCAGCTTTTTAATGTCATTTGTATCGCTATATTTGCAAGTTTTTATAAATCTACCATCACCTTTGAGATAAAAGAGATCTCTTGCGAATTGAGAGATTTAAGAGACTAAAGTTTAGTACCCCAGACTTTGGGTACTAAACTGAAATTTAGTTTTAAGATAGATATGGTTTTAGAATGTCACTTCAGTGCAGAGTTGTTAGTACTTGGCCTTAGCCAAGTACTAACAACTCTGAATTTAGGCTTTGGCCTTGAAACTGTTGGCCTTGGTCTTGAAAATATTAAATACAAGTTACAGTTTTGTGAAGAATTGGCCTTAACGCTAAGCAAAAATTGAAGTCCTAAAAAATCTTGGGTACGTCTCGGCCTTGAAATTCCTAATCTTGGCCTTGACCTCAAAAATTTTGGCCTTGGCCTTATCCTTGGTCTTGTAAATTGTGGCCTTGGCCTTGCTACTTTTGGCCTTGTGACAACTCTGTGATAACTCTGCCTAAGTGACATTCTGAAAACCACATCCATCGTTTCCTCACTAAGAAAAAAAAATATGCAATGCATATTTTATTTACACAGTAAAATTTAAATTTTAAGTGTGTGTTTTTTCCAGATTTATAAGTACTTATATTAAAAATTGCGCATTTAATTACATTAAAGGATAAAAAAAGTAATTGTAGTCGATTCTTTATAATAATATGTAACAACTCCGGGAGGGTGAACGATAATTTACGGCATCCGTTTCAATTTTGAAAACGAGGCGTTCTTTTGACTTCTACTATATATTGCTAACCGAAGTTTTAATACTTGAGCCGTAAAAAAACTGGCCTCTTAATTTAGGCCATGATTACTAGTATTATTTCATTACATTATTTTACAAGGCCTATCAAGGAAGAGTAGGGATATAATTTTTCCTTTACATTAAGCTAAATTTAAACTTACATATAAGTTGAGAAGTTCTATTTCCTTGCAGTTGGTGCATTTTGTTAAGTTAGACATGTTGAATGCCTAACTTAAGAACAGAATAGCCAATTTTTTTGTACCAGTTTTAGCATAAGATGTTTTACTAAAAATATTTAAAAAAATGAAATTATAAGTATAAAATAAAGGAATACTAAACTAGGTGTAATCTGCAAAAGCTGATCAACCCTTTAATTAGTTATTTAAAGACTTAATAATAATAATAATAATAATAATAATAATAATAATAATAATAATAATAATAATAATAATAATAATAATAGCAATAATAATAATAATAATAATAATAATAATAATAATAATAATAAAAACAGCGTCTGAATACGTCTCTAAGACTTACTATCGGACGTCTTTTTGACGCAGATAAATCAACTTATTAAAGAATTGCGTTTAAATATTTTAACTACACCTATATAGGTGTAGTTTTTTACACCTATATACACCTTTATTATATATTAAATAATATATAGTTGTAGTTAAAACCTATATAATATAGGTTTTAACTACACCTATATATTTTTTAACTACACCTATATATTGCAGGGGCAAATCTAAGATTTTTTTATAGCTATAAAAAATCTTAGATTTGTGAAAAAAAGTTTTACAGCACAATCATTAAAAAAAAAAAAATTGAAACTGTATCTAAGTGAGGAACAAAAAACGCATTAAAAAAAAAAAATTATAAAAATTGAATATTATAATTGCACTTTTTTAAAGACCTAATGATGTATATTTTCAGCACTATAAAATTATTTTTTCATTATCAAAAGATAGCTGTAAACCTAAAAAATTTGGAACTTTTTACAAATTTTAGCTGTAACACTATAAAAACCAAAGTAGTACTAATTACTCGCGCAAGCGAAGTATTTTTTAAACAAAAGAATTGAGCTAGATTATGGGTTCTACAGGATTAAACGTCAGTCGTACCCTTAAAAAAATACGTGGATAAGATGGACCAGACAGAGGCGATTTTACGGGTGTGTGTGTGTGTGTGTGGAAGAACTATAACTTGAAAATCACCTTATGAAGGTGATTTTCAAGTTATAGTTGGTTTTTTTACGAATTTAGTCGGCTATTCAGATATTTGACACAATTCAGTCGGTTAATTTATATATATAACTTATATTTGTTAACTTATTTTTTATTAACTTATATTTATATAAATAACTTATTATAATATATTATATAAATATAATATACTATATATATAATATATTATATATATAATATATTATATATATAATATATTATATATATATATATATATATATATATATATATATATATATATATATATATATATATATATATATATATATATATATATATATATATATATATATATATATATATAATATATTATATATATAATATATTATATATATATAATATATTATATATATATATATAATATATTATATATATATATATATATATAATATATATATATATATATATATATATATATATATATATATATATATATATTTATATATATATATATATATATATATATATATATATATATATAATATATTATATATATAATATATCATGTATATAATATATTATAATATAAATAAATAAATAAATAAAAAACTTTTAGTTTTGAGGACCTTTTTTTTTTTTGCGAAGCCAGCCTATACTTTTTATGGATTCAACCCCCCCCCCCCCTCATTTTATTTGTGGAATCGTCTCTGGGACCAGAGACGATTCCACAAATAAAATATTTTATAAGGTTAAAAAATATTTTATAAGGATTACCACCAAAAAATATTTTATAAGGCCTTTTTTCATTTTCGTCAAATGTCTAGTTTTGAAGCATGTCTGCCCCCATTTCTGCGGCGGCTAATTGTGTTTCCAATCGTTGAACTGTTTTCAACCTCGTTTTGATGCAAGCACTCCATAAATTTGTCACTATTTCATATAAAGATTATTTGTTGACGGCTAAAAGAATAAAAAAATAGCTATATTAAGTAATCAATAAGTTTATATGATTAGGGAAAGATTCAATGAACAGCATTTTAAAACATTTCTTTATATAACACATCACATTGTATAGTCAATGTTTAAGATCTAATGTGAGTCTTATTTACACTGTTCCTACAATATCAAGTTTTCTTGTATAAAAACATTTCTAAATAATGTAGTCTATTAATAAAGATTTTTTTATTAGATTATAATGTATTCAATATACTTTTTTAAAGCAATTTAATTTTTATTTTAACATGTTTTTGCGTCAAATTTTAGTAAATAGTTTAATCAAAATGTAATTATTACAAAAATTTGTATATGTGGTGCGATAGAATAACAGTAATTTTAGATATAAAATGGCTTTTGCAAACGGTTCCGACTTTCTGCTATCTGAGTCTGTGGAGATAAAAAATGATACATTTAATTTTCAGCCTCGCATTGACGATAATTTTCATAATTGGATTTCATGTTTTTGTATAGTAACATTTGACTTGGAATTAGGCCAAGTTATTGAAAAAGTATTTCCTGAAAAATACTGTTTAACAGAAATAGAACGAACAAACATATGTTACTTAGCATTTCCAGATTCAAATACTGGTTGTATGGGTGACACATCATTTCATTTCCGCATTCGCTCTAAAGCAAAATATAAAATTAATGTACTTAATCAAGATATGCAGTATCAAACTGGTTATGTATTGTTTAGACAGGTCAAGGATGAATCAATAAAGCGTGGTTACTTTCAAAAATCAGTTGTATTGTTAACTCGTTTACCTTACATTGAGCTGTTTTTAAAACTAACAAAATTAATTGCAACAGCTTATTTTGACACTGGTGATGTAGCTATGGAAACAGTTTGCAATCAAATTTCGAATTGGCCTACTCAAAGTTTAGGGAAAGTCATTCAATTGCCAGTTTTAGGTGATGTCATTGAGCTTTCAACATTTGAGGATTATAAGTCAAACATTAAAAGTCTTTCATATTTATATTATTATTATCAACCACGTTTATATCAATGCTTTTATTCAATTGTATCTTGTATCCAGATGCTTTGGGAATTAGTTCTTCTAGGTGAACCAATAGTTGTTATTGCTCCTACTCCTATGTTATGTTCAGAAGGAGTACAGACACTTGTGAGCATGATTCACCCATTGCATTATGTTTGTGATTATCGGCCATATTTTACAATTCATGACTCAGAATTCAAAGAATATACAACAAAGAACCAATTCTTTCCTAATGTTATTTTAGGTGTTACTAATCCCTATTTTGTAAAAACATTTCAAAATTGGCCAAATCTTATACGCTTAGGAGAGATGTCTTCCTTAACAGCTACAAAAATAGATAAAAAAACTGTTGATTTTATACCAGGAATATATACAAAATATAAAGCTTGTTTATCTAAAGATAAGGCATTGGTACGAAAAATCGAAAGAGCAATTAAAGCTAATCAATCTGTAGAAACACTTAATGGATTTTTATGCAAATATGTTATTGAGTTGACACAAAGTTTTTTAATACCATTGGAAAGGTACATTGGTAGTTTGATGCCATTGCAAAGAAGTATTCTGCCATGGAAAAGTCCACCAAAATTAAAAAAATTTAATATTGACGAGTTTGTAGCAACCCTACCTATTTATGGACCACATCTTACTTCAAAATTAAAAGGTAATTGGACTTTATTATATCAGAAATTTTTTAAATCACCAAATTTTGAAGTGTGGTTTTGCAAACGAAGACAAGAAGTAAATAATAAATTAGAAATTTTGCATTTAGAAGCTTTATGCAATGCAGATGTAAATAGTTGGACAAAAGGAAAAGATGAAGTTGAAATAGTAGATTTATATATGTATGTTAAAAAAACATTATTATATTGTAAAACTGGTAATGTTTATGTTTCACCTTCCATTCGACATGATTTACACTCTCAACTTCTGATGGTTTTAAAAGCACTTCCTTCTGACCTTCAAGAAGTATTAAAAAAATCTTTATGAACTTTTTTATGTCTTAATGTAAATTTGACAGAATTTGATCTCTGATTTATTTTCCATAATAAATTGTTTATGTTTTTGATAGTATTAATGTTGTGATTATTTATGTAGTTTTTAAAAGATTTTAATTTAGATAAATAAAATTCTAAGGTATTGAAATTTTTTTTCTAAATATCTTATACCATTCACTAATTATTACTTTTCAAACTTTTTTCTTACATTTTTTCAACTTTTTTCTTGTGATTTGTGAATTTAGCGTACTTAGATTTTTATTTTATTTTACTTTACCCACATGTCTTTATATATATATATATATATATATATATATATATATATATATATATATATATATATATATATATATATATATATATATATATATATATATATATATATATATATATATATATATATATATATATATATATATATATATATATATATATATATATATATATATATATATATATATATATATATATATATATATATATATATATATATATATATATATATATATATATATATATATATATATATATATATATATATATTAATTAGAGTCATAAAATATTTTCACCTTATCTTAAAAAAATTATTGTTTACAAAATAACTTTTTTAATTTTTTAGATTATATAAATTTTAAAAATATATTTTTTATGTGTAGATATTTATGTGTATACAAGTTTAAATTGTAAATTATATATAAAAAAATAATTAACAGTATGTTAAAATAAGGTTAAGTAACACTTTTTGAAATTTTATTCTTGTTACCTTATTTTCAAGGAAAATTGTTAAATATTTATTCTTAATCCATTAAATCTTTTAACAAAGCAGGGGGTTGGCAAACTTTTATATAATGGTTGTTAGACGGTTGTTTCGTTTTTGCTTACGTTAGCTACAACGTTAATGTTGTTGATAAAAAGAAAATTATAAATAATTTTGAAAAAATAAGTAAAGTGAAATAAATTTGATAGTTTAAGTTCGTCTAATTAAAAATAAAAAGCTACTATAATAAATTAAACTTTTCTGAGCTGAAATCACCGCAAAGTCCGAGTTTATTTAATTTTTACAAACGATAACGCAACCATTTAAATGGTGTAGACTGACCTTCAACAAGCTTGAGCTTTTACCCTTAGGCTTTTTTTTTTTTTTTTTTTAGTATTTTTTTTTTTTTTAGTTATATTAAAAAAAGGTTTTTTAACAAAAAGATTAAAGAAAAGAAGTATTTTATCATTTTAAAAGTCATTTTTTATGTCATTTAATATAACTTATAAAATTTTTACTCCCGACTATCGCAAAAGTTTAAAAAAGAATCTTGCTTGTGATGAAACTTCCCAATATTTTTTTGAGCAGTATATTTATAAAAATAGCTAAAAATATAAAATACTAAAAATATTTATAAAATAGCTAAAATAGCTAAAATTTCTTGTGTAACAGTCGGAAAACTTCATAAAACTGTTTACAAATACCTGGATAAAAAATCTACTGCATTTAGGAGGATTTTCCTATGCTTATTAATTAAAATTCATAATTTTCCCAGTGTTGTTTAAATATAGAATCAATTTTTCTCTAGTACGCTCGATAAATCTAGTTATAATGCAATAGTGTTTATTAAAAATAGAACATTGCACAGTGGGACGGTTAAACACAAGAGTGACCAAAATAATTTCCCTGCAACTAATACATGCACAAATTTATTATTATTTTAAAAAATTCATATAGTAAAGTATATATGTTTAAAATTTCAAATAAAATTGATCTATAGTTTTAGAGAAACTTAATTTTGTAGCATAGGGGGGCGTCCATAATGTACATACGTTTTTATTTCGACACTTCGCCAAACCCCGCATTTTGCTATACGCTTTTTTGAGTACCCTCCACATCCCTAAAAGTACCTACACTTATAACTTACCTACCCAACTTTTATGGTATTTTTTTTAATTTAGTGTCTCCTTACTTTTATAATTGCCCTCCACCTCATATAGGCTACTTGAAAACCCCCTCTCCTTTATCTGAGTGTATGTACTTTGTAGACGATCTCTAGGTGCTCAAGTGAAAAAACGGTTAAGTGCAAACTCACCTTTAGATTATTTTAGATTATGTTTTGACAACTGTCATTTTTTATTCTAAACATCGATGTTGATACCATCAACTTCTATAATTATATTAAAGTTGTTAAATTAATCAATATCTATGCCAGTAATAAAATATATTAATTTACTATCTAACTCTAAATTCAAGGGGGTTGCCTGAGAAACAATTTTTTTTTGGCCCTGTGAATTTAAATGACTATATTTTAATCTGTATGGATTTCCATGAATATCCATACTGATTAAACTTTAGTCATTTAAAATTACAGGTCCAAAAAAAAAATCCAGATTACCTTAGCTAAAAAAATATTTTAAAAACAATTAAATATGAATGTATATTTTATTTATGTTGAATGCTTGTTGTTGTTACGTTGAAGGCTTTTGATTCCACAATATAAAATTTCCAAAAAAAATTAATAAAAAATTTCACCACCATACTTCCCACTATGTATTATCCCACAATCAGCATGCTGTATTTGATTTTATTGTGAAAAATTTATTCACAATCAATCAAGTTTTAAAATAATTGATGAAAAGCGCCAGTCCTGGCCGCTCTGTGATAAAGGTACAGTCTCGCTTTTAAAAAAAAAGTTTTCAGTTTTCAAATTACAGTTAAGTGCTATAATAATGACAGCAATTGCTATAATAATTTACAGTTTCACAATTAAGTGCTATAATAATGACAGCAAATATAAATAGTTTCAAACATTTGCTGTCATTATTATAGCACTTAAGTGCTATAATAATGACAGCAAATGTTTGAAACTAATTATATTTGTTGAATTTATCGCGTTTTTAAGTTAAAGTGTACCATAATTTGACCACACGTTTGGTAAAGAAATTGTTTCTTTCCACGTAGTTTCGAAAAAGTTGTGATTTGAGTTGTTTGTGAGTCTACGAGCTGGAAAACTATACTTTAATGACGTTAAGTTTGGTTGACGCTAAAGGATTGCAAAGTTAATCATGTCAACTTTGCTGTTAATTTTGAATTGTTTAATAAGATCTGCTCTTGCTCGTCGTTCGGTTAGTGTTGTCAGGTTTATTCTTAATAGCCGCTGAGTGTAGGGCAAGTGTTTTATGGTAGAGATGCGTTTCGTTGCTCAGCGTTGAATTCGCTCGAGTTTGGCTATATCTTAAGCCAGATATGATGACCAGCACATTGTACTTGTACAGCAAATTCCAAATAAAAGCAAACGTATGAAGTATATAATTTGCGTCATAGAACAAAGGTATGATCTTGAAAAGCACTCTTAAGCATGCTAAGCATACGGTTGCCAGCTGATGTAGCCGTGAATACTTGTTTACTGAACTTTAAATCATTAGTTATTACAACGCCTAGATCAGTTTCAGATGTTGCCCACGATAGCTGGTGCAGTTAACCGACATTGTGTCGGACATTGTATATACTACGGTAGATTTTTTGTGATTGTTGCAACCAATGTACATAACTTTGCACTTATCAACATTAAAAGACATGAGCCATGTGTGTGACCACTTCACTGTTTCATTGATGTCGTATTGGAGTTTTATATTTATGTAACTATAAACTATAATCTTAAAAAAATTTTATTATAAAAATAATCTTTAAAAAATTTATTTAGTTTTGAACTTGGCAATAAAATACCCAGGTAGATCCTGGTGTAGACTCGAAAACCGCAACCTGTTGACTGGTTTTTTGTTCAATTTTCTCGATACAGCAAAACCGGTTGTTAATATTACATTATTAAATTAATGAATTCGGTATTAATTTATTTCTGATAATAACTGTAACTCTGAACTTACAACAGATTTTTGTTTTACAAATTAATAATTTACATTAAAACGCTCAAGTATAGAATATAAAAAAATATTTTCGCGTGCTTAATATACGGGAGGAGACACTTATTATTTTTTGGAAAATTTTCCAGACAAAGATTATTAAGAGCTAATTAGTTTTTATTTGATATCACAAAAAAAAACTATATCTCAAAACTAAAAAAAAAATTAAAGTAAAGCCAACTTTAAAAGTTAGAAAATATATATGAACAAAACCCCTTTAGTCTAATAAATCAATTGGTCCACGCTTAATTGGTCCAATTGCTTATAAAGCAATTGGTCTAGACGATGTGAACGGAAATATTGTTATTGGCTCGTATAACATAATTAAAAATATTCTCTTTAGGGTCTTTTCGTGCTGAATCAACTAAGCAGTATTTCATTACCAACTTAAAATAGCAAGAGTTACCCTAATTTTCAAAAAAGGGGAACCTGCTAACCTCAGTCATTACCACCCAGAAAAAATGTGTTATTTAATAACCAATATGGGTTTAAAAAAAATAATTCTGCTGTACATGCAATACTTCAACTAACAAGAAATATTGCTGATTCATTTGAAACATCGCAATACACATTAGGTATTTTCATAGATCTATCAAAAGATTTCGATACTATAGATCATGAAACTCTTTATAACAAACTAGAAAATTATGGAATCACTGGAAATACTTTATTATTACTAACGAACTATTTAACTAATCGTAAACAGTTTATTCGAATAGACCCAGTGGGCACACGACGTTATTTCGACGTTGATTTACAGTTGATTTTTAGTCGCGACGTCGTATAACCAAAAATCAACGTTGTATCAACGTTGAAAAATTTGTTTAAAACTATAAAATAAAATCGACGTTGATTCCACGTTATTTCAACGTCTATATTACGAGTTCGACCGTTCGTAATTGCAATATGAGAACTAAAACACGCATGCGTGACTTAAAATATTTTTTATTAGCTTAACAAATAACAAGTAAACACTTAAAATGTTACTTATTAGCCCAATAAAAACAAGTAAAGTCACACATGCTAATAAATTAGGCCATCTGTTGCCTTTTTATAAGGTTTTGAATTTGACAATTTAACAATAATACATGGCTTAACTTGTGATGCATTTAGTAAGGTAAATATTAAATGGATATTTCTTTATGACCGTATTATTTCATGAGTGTGGATTACAAG